GAGCTCCCGTATCTCTTGCACGCACTCGTGTAGCTCACGCCTCCCTTGTTTGTACGAGAGGATGCGCGAACGCTGGCGGTACTCGTAGTACGCCGGGAGGAAAGCGGCTCGGAGATGTTTACACAGCTGAGCCCAGGATGTGAAACATCCAGGGGATGTTGCTTCCCGTGTGTTCACCCAACTCTTAGCACGGCCGCTAAGGTTGGATAGTGCAAAAGCAACACGAAGTTGCTCGGTCGAGATCAGAGCCGCGTCCATCGCGAGCTCTAATTCTCGGACCCAGAAGTGAAGGTTCTCGCCTTCCTTCCCTTCATACGGCTTAACCTTCAGCCGTATTGGCTTCGGGTGAGGCGGATTTGCTTCCGCCGCCGGAGCCTGCAGCTTTTCCCGCACATGCGCGATGAGGCCCTGCTCGTACGCGTCGAATGCATTGACGCACTCGAGCTGCTCAGCCGGTGTTGACACCACCAGGCTCTGCAGGGCCTCCATCCCGAAGATGCCTGCCATCTTCCGAACCGACTCGAACTGAGAGTCGTTCATATGGGAGAAGTCGTTCCTATCCATGGCAACGAACTTCGGAGAGGTTCAGGTAGCCTATTAGCGGTGGCGTGGATTGACTACGAGTGCTACCAAGTGTGACGGGGTCACAGAGCACCTTGCGCTAGAGGAAGTTATCTTCCGAGAGTATACAAACTCTCAGTGAACGGCAGTTCACAGGTCCCCTCTTTAGCTAAAAGATAGCGAAGCGACCAAATTAAGGTAGAATGTAAACTGAGTATATTTATAGGTAGATAAAGTTTGAGTCACCTATAGAAATGCAATGTCGTTGACCAATGGTTGGCTTTGAACGACCTTGGTACTTTGTACCAAATATCCCGGAGTATGACGTGTCATACTCCTGAAGTGTGAAGTGTCACACTTCATGTAACCATGGTACACTTAGGGCTACGTACCCCGTTACAACTACAGTTCTGCGGCAATAAGGGGCAAAACTCTATTAACCCTTCTAGAACGGCCTCTTATTCTGTATCCTACAGAATAAGGAAATACCTTGATTAAAGTATGCCAGAAAACCTGCGAAAAGTATGCCGTGTTGAGCCCTTTCGCGCCTGTTGTAAATAAACGGAGCAGATTGAACGCAAAGAAGCCACAGATGTGTGCATAGATCCCACAATGTATCCACCATCAGATCAAATAGCGATTTTCTATTGGCTCCCGATTGAACAGAACTCGGTCAAAACCTCCTACCAAGCAATACCCGTCCTTTTCGGTACTATCACTGGAAGTGGCCATCTCTAGGTTTCAGCCACCCATCTTTGGCGCCAAACCTGGGCCGCGCGCAGTGGAAAAATTTGCCCAGTTCCTAACTAACGGATTAGTGAGGAGGAACAGGGCAATTTCTTCTCTGCGCGCGCTACTACGAAGTCGCTATACGCCTTGTAAGTGCTTTATCTTATTAGCCTTACGGTTATCTTATTCCTCAGTCTCATTATCTCTTTTACGCTTACGGAATCTTATCTTCTTTTTTAGAGCTGGCGGAATGCACTTACCATCGTTCCAAGTGTCGTGCCAAATCTGCGCACATGTTAGCGAGTTACCGCTTTCGACGCGCCGTACTTGACGGCAAAGCGGCACCCGTCCACCAAACGCGTCACTGCATTCCTAGCAGAAGAAGCTGGTCTCAAATGACTTGGTATTGGCATCGGAGGACGCGGAGCACACTTTGCACAAGTATTGTCTTCGTTTGTGCTGCGTTCCCTTTGTGTAGTAATCGTCTGTGTTCACTAACGAGTGTTGTTGGCGGGGTATCGGCCCTGAAACTAGATCCTCTGCGTTGAGCGTCTCGAAGTTGATTGTACGCAGCGCCAGTAGCTGTACATGCAAGCGGCGCAGGTATTCTGCGTGTGTAGGTGGCTTCTCTCCTCTTTTCTTGACTGTAATGCAGTGAACAATGTAACCGTTGACAACGGCCATGTCTACGATACACAGGAATAGCTGCTTGTAATACTTCCGGAGCGAAATGCACTTTTGAATACTGTAGCGGTGAAGTCGTAGCTGGTCGTGGACATCAACTCCACCTATACCGAGGCCGTAGTCCACGACCAGCTGTGGACACTGAACTGGAGTGCGGGTTCCATCCTTCTGCGTGCGGAGAACACTGGTGCGACGCGCGCTACATCCTGTAGCGAGCATGTTCACTGGCTTGGAATCCATCCAGCTCAGTGCGACGAGCTCGGGGTGGTCTCGCGCTTGGGCAATACGGTAGGTTCCACGTGGCATGCGCTGTGGTCTTTTCTTTTGCGTGAAGTGAATTGGGCACCAACCTAACCTGTCGGTCCTTGTAGTCCCGACGTGGTACAAGTCCATGTCCAGCAGCTTCAGACTGAGCGATACGGTAGAGTAAAAACTGTCGGTAACAATCAGTCGCTTCTTCGGCTGGTCCATCAACACCTTCGAGATATTTCTTACGACAGCTTTTGGGCCAAGTCCCAGTGTGTCTGTTGGTGCTTTTCTCTTCTTCTGCTTCAATTTGTCAGCTCCACAGTAGATTTCCACTCTAAGTTATATCACATACGAATAACATAAGTACACACCATGTTAATCTGTATCCTCCAGAATAGGATGTTCGGTACTATTTAGAATAGCTTGTCTTACCTTGAGCAGTACGCGGTGTCAGCACAGCACGTCATGTAGAATTTGGTGCCATACTTGCAGGGCTTGTCTGGCATGAAGACGCGCATTGGGTTGTATTTGCTTCGATTAGCCATCATGCCTTCATCAAAAGAGATTACTTTTCCGAGGCGATATCCACGGCGAAACGTTTTCTCAACAGCTTGCAGTAGCGGTCGAACTTTCCAGAGCGTATCCACAAGCACTCCACCTTGTTCATTGTTGTTGAAGTGAAGGAACTTTAAGATCGCTACGAAGCGATCACGCTTCATGAAGCGAGAGAATGTTCCTCGTGGAACAGCACCATCTTCATCGGTAGACCAATGTTTGTCAAATCAGGAACACTGATGCGAGGATCCTTGGCCTGCCGAGCCAGCAACTTGTTCCTACGTGACGTGGCAATGACGGTGATATTCTGGGTTCTGTATCTGTTCGTCTCTTTGGCGATATGACTCCATAGTTCCTTTGGCAAGAAGTAAAAGAACATCCTTAATGGAGAATCTGCGTACGCAACTGCAGAACGCGTAGGCCCAAATTCCCCGGCATAATAGTCCGCAGCTGCATCAACTTGAAAATCCTCTACATTGTTGCAAATATTTCATATACAGATTTAGTTTATATGCGTTTTAAGTTATTCTGTGCTATCTGGGCTTACCGCTGTGCTCTTCGTCATACGTCACCCATCCATTTCCAGCGATATCACGCAAGGCATCTTCCGTAAACCCCAACAGTTCAGCTTCAGAGACGTCTTCAGTCATTGGGACATCTTCAACATCGTTGGCACCTTCTAGAGAAGATGTAATCACCTCATTGTCTTCCAATATCCCATCATCATCTGCATCTGAATCGGAATCGCAGAAGTCAGCGCTATCCACCAAGTTCACATCGTCATCAGCTGTCGGGCCAAACAGGGGCTCCTTTCGGAGACCCTTCATGAAGTTATTGCTGTCGAACACGTCCAAATCAGCGAAGTTTTCAGTCTCGTTCAGATCGTCGCTCTCAGTTTTGCCTTCTTCTTCATCTGTCGCGTTCTCCCTGGGATGCAATTCTGTATCATCCTGAACAACATCGTCTGCTCCATCGCCTTGTTCTGTAGCATCTGTCATACCGGATGGTTCTGTCGCTTAAGAGTCAACTACTTTCGTGATAACCGCCGCTGTATGCGTATCATCAGGTGCTAAACCGAGGGAAGTCGGCAAAGAAACAGTCGCGACCAATTCTCTACTCGCAGTTGTGGCCGGCGCCACTGAAGCCTGGTTTGTCGTGGGGGATGGAACGCATGAAGGGTCAACACCGATGGCTGCATAAGCTGCTTGCTTGCCAATGGGTCGTCGGACGACAGAGCCCACTGATGCGCTGGAAGGTTGGTGATCCAGGAGGCCTGAGAGACGAGCAAACGCCATAAGATCCTTCTCACCTGGTTCAAAGCAGATATTAGTACAACGAAAATTAGTAGCTACAATCACATCCTCTCACCTTCAAAGAAGTCTAATCCGCGTCGCGAATCATCGAGGCGGCCCTTGATTCCTGGCTTTACGTAGCGGTGGTCTTTGGCGATACCGGTAGGCTTACGAGCCTTCCATCCTTCCTTGCACAGGTCACGCCACAGCTGCGTGAGCGACTTCTCTCCAGGACCGTTCATCTTTCCGAATGGGGGAAAGATGGAGTGGCTGACACGCGTTTGTGTGGGCTGTCACCTCAATTTTTAAACCTTATACTCGTCTTTCTATGCCAACACGCTAATCCCCGGCTATCTACCCAGCGCAGATCTATTAGGAGCGGTCGACTGATCAGCACACATACAAAATAATAGATGCGAGATTCGACAGCGCAGCCAACATTTCTGGATATTAAATACTGCGAAAACGCTTATTCTGTAGGATACAGAATACCGTTCTAGAAGGGTTAACAAAAAAAACTGCAGCTTGAACACTACAGAAATACATTATCTGTGCATGTTCACCACTTCCTCATAGTCGCGAGTCCTCGTGCGTATAAGGATTATTTATTACAATTAGTGTAAAAGCTAAACAGAAGGCCATACTTACCCTCATGTTCGCCATTTCCTAGCTTTATGCATCCGCCGTCCAAGGAAATAGGTATACATGATATTGTCGGGTTCCCTGACGTTGCATAACCCACTTCATTTCTTGCTGCCCGCGCCATACTTTAGCGACCTCTATATCTACTTCCTATTCCAGATTGGGGGGGGGGGTTAAAGATGCTCTCAAATTAGAAGTCATCTTAACAGAGATTACATTCTTAACTCGCTATGTCTAGTATTAATATATTTATTGTATCAATAGCCTCTTAAAGGTTGAGTCAAACCATTACGCCAGCGCTGCTCCACGCTCTCCTAACGGTGATCCACACTTGCTACAGAACTTAAATCCAGCCAAGACATTCATTGAACAGCTCGGACACTCCTGCGTGGCTTGGTGTGCGTCCTTCTGCCGCTCTGCGAACCTCTGGAGCTCATCAATCGCAGCGGAGATGCCGATTCGCTTATCCCAATCCGGCTCCGTCAAGCGCTGTACAAGCTGCCATTCGTCATCCTTCAGACCTTCCGGACGATGATATTCTTCTCCAGAAAACACTTTTTCGAGAATCGTATCGTCGTCGTCCAGAGCATACGGAGGTTCGTCCGAAAAGGCCTCAACGATGCACATTCCGAAGGAATAGACATCCGAAGCGAAGCGTGGGTTGTGAGCAGCGTCGGCATCGCTCTCACCCATGGGCATCAAGCACTCGGGGGCTTTCCAACGCACAGTATCCGTCTGGGCCTTTGCACTCAATCCTACCGACTGACTACGGATGTAACTAAAGCCAAAGTCGCAGATCTTGGCCTTGTCGTCCCCGCCAATGACGATATTGTTGCACTTGAGGTCTCCGTGCACCACCTTCTCCGAGTGCAGGTAGTGCAGCCTCAGCGCTGCCTCGTAGAACAGGCGTCAGACCTCGCTCTTGTCTTCCATCAAGTAGTCGGCGAGGTTTCCGTGGATCGCGTCTTCACACACAAAGAAGGCGGGGGTGCTGACATGGCAGGCACCGAAGAGCTTTACGATATGTGGATTACTGAGCTTGTTCCAGACGTCCACCTCCTTAATGAACGACTTCATGGCCTGGTCGTCGTCCATGAGCAGGCACTTGATCACCACCTTGGCTCCTTTGCCCCATACCCCTCGGTGTACGGAGCCATAGGAGCCGCAGTCGAACTGATCTTTGGCGTCGAACTCGACGTCGTCACTGCTGATGAACCACTCGGGCACCACTGGAACTTTGGCTTTGGACGTGCGCACGACCGTCTTGAAGGCTTTGTGCATAAGCTTCAGCTGCTCGGGGTCGTTCTGCTCCTTCTTGTGCTCGAGCTCGTACTTGATCATAGCCAGTCCTTCTTTAAGAGTGGACCCAGAGCTCTGGATCTCGGCGTGGATACTCTGGCCGTTGGCCAAGATGTCGGCCATTTGTTGGTGGATCCGCTTCCGGTCCTCCTCCCACTCTTGCTTCCACTTGGCCATCTCGACCATATGCACAATGTTGAGCAGCTTAAAGAGCTCGTCCATATCGCTGTGGAAGTCTTGGATGGCGTCCACGACCTTGCGGTTGCTGGCCAGTCGCTTGATGAGACTCTTTTGCGACTGGCGCTTGAGAAACGTAAGGAAGTCGGAGATGGTGCGGCCGTACATGAACAGCACGCGGTTCTGGCGTAGTACCGTCTCGTCCGTGATTTTGTACAGCTCCTCGTTCACAAACTTCATGCGCTCGTACACGCGACGACAGATCTCCTCGTTCTCTCTCATCTCTTGGATAACTCGAACACGTTGCCCAGCGCCTCGCTAATGGCTTCACCTAGCTCGGGGATCACGAACTCGGCCACCAAGGAACAGGCTGCAGCCATTTGTGTCGTTTGGATACGAGTTTACTCTACTTCAGTACTGGTCTTGTGCACCGGGGGAGGTAGAACGAGGAATGATACGTCGGCAGGAAGCCATTTGGACCGCTGACATTTTTTTAATCAACCTACAGATCCCGACATGTCAATGGCTTCAACGTGATCAAGTCACCGGTAGTAATAACTGGTTACAGCGAAGTACTGTACTACGTAGTTATAGTAGTAGTAACTAACTTTCTGTCCTTTATCTGTCAGACACTGTACTGCTCTGTCACCGATAGCGACTTACTTCAAAGTACTAACCACAGCTTCAGTACTCCGGTCTAGAAGATGCGGTACGAAGTCGGTGCGCGACGGCGTTCCCATTGAGTCTCGTGCTTGTTCCAGTGCTTCCACTGTAGTGCGACCAAGATGTCAGCAATTTCAGCCGCGAGCTTCTCGTCCGAGATGATCTTGGTCTTGTCTGCCTGCTCCATGTCTTGCACCTTGCGCAGACGCTGCAAAGCGAGACCAAACGCCTTGAAGTGTCGGTCATGCAGCAGCGAAACGTGCAGATACGTGGCCGCGTCAACGTCTTCCCACTTCTGGAGGGCAGCGTAGGCCAACAAGAAGTCATCCCATTGCTTCAAGTCACCGAGAGCACGAGCCTTACGAGCAAGAGCGTCGGCGAGGATCGATTTCTCTTTTTCCTTCTCCTTGCGCAGCTTCTTCTCCGCTGCAGGCTTGTCGCCAGGGACGCTGCGCGTACCGAAGAACAGCGCCAGTTCGTCTTGTCTAATGAGTGTGAGCACAGCGTCGGCAGCCTCAACCACCTCAGCTAACTGAGTCGATCTGTTAGCCTCGAAGTCAAAGTGATGGAGCTTCGCTTGCAGTGCCGGTACGTGGTTCGGGAACTCGTCCACAAGACGCTGCCACGCCGGAAGAAAAGTGGACTTGCCTACTAATTTCGTCACTCGCTCGAGCAGCAAGTCGCGCACGGCTTCCTTGGCGATTTCTTCCTCGTCGCGCTCATCTTTTGGCTCTTCCGGCTCAGGCTCCTTCACAGGAGTTGGTGCAAGCGGGATGACATACGTGACGTCGAAGCCTCCGGGACGTCTACCGCTCCTATCATTTTAAAACAAGGAAAACGTTAGCAAACCTCATTAGCCACCAGTCAGTGACAAAATCCGTATGCTTACCCCTTGATAGCGCCTTCCTTCTGGCCAAAGTGGATTTTGCCCATCAAAACGTCACCAACGGTATTTCCGACAGGAAGCTTGTCATATGCAGGCTCTCCGATAAACAGAGGCACGTACTTGCCAGCAAACAAAATCTTCTTGTCCAACGGTATGCCACCCAACGCAACGTCGTCTTGGTGTCCAAACACCGACGCGGTGATCTCCTTCACGTCATGCTTCAAGACCAAAATCATCTGCTTGAGCTTCTCCAGTTTGCCCACATCTTCGTGTCGAACTTGGGCACGCACCACATACGACCCCTTCTTCAACGTCGTCTCGTTGCCGTAAGCGTCCGAACAGCCCAAATACTGCTGCTTATCGTCGAAGATCATCATCAACTGTGCCTCGAATGGCGACTCGTACAGTCGGTCATTCAATAGTGGCAGGTACGGTACTACCTTACCTGCTTCCTTCTTCGTGAACGGATACGTCAAGATGAGTTGATACACTTGGCGTTTGTCCGGGAACTGGTCACGACTGGAACTTAACGGGGAGATCTCGGCTGTCTTTGGGCGGAGATGCTGCACGTACTTATTGAAGCTGACTTTAGGCGCCAAAGCCTCGGTGACCACACTGCTGGACACAAGAACCTTGTGCGATTCGTCGCCTCCAGTGACCACAATCTTCTCTTGATCCGGTTTGATACCGTGAAATCGGATCTCGATCTGCACGACGGAGTCTCCCAGCGCGCTCCAGAACTGACCCAAGCAGAACTCGGTAGTCAAACCACCCAGTAGATCCATACTGAACGCCAGTTCCTCGCCTGGTTTGAGGAAGAAGGCCTTGTGGAACGATGACGAGCTCTGACGTACAAATGGCTGGAACTGCAGAGCGTCAAACATGAAGAGCTTCCCAGTAGCGTTGGACTCCACGTCGCGTTCGACCTCGTTCGATCGAGAGAAGGTAATATCCGCCCATGTGGCACCTTGAGGCGGTGTAATAAACCGACGAGAAATATCGCCAGGCTGGAACTTGCTCTGATAGATAACCACCGTCTTTGCGTCTTCAGGCTTGATCACCGTCACAGGGATAGAGAAGAGAGCGCCACGAGCTTCGTTCTGCGTGTCGTACGCCACAACTTCTCCGTAATGCTCCCCAGCAGGCAAGTGGTTCGTCTCCACCAGCACTTTAAACGCGCGTCCTCCATGCATCAACGCCAGGTTTCGTCCCACGTCGATCCACCGAGCCGAGGGAACAAGACGCACGTGCTGTTCAAAGTGAACCTTGTCCTCTTGCACCGCCTTCTTGTGGAACTTTGGCGTGACTGTGACGTTCACTTCGGTGCTGTCATGAGTGAAGTCCACGCTGTCCCGAAGGTATATGCCGCGCGCCTTCCCGTCGCCTGACGACGTCTTGATGTCGTAATGCAGAGGGAACTTCTTCGTGCCATCGAACGAGTTACTGCCAGTTAAATACTCGAATGCCGGCAGCACTTGGATCAACCCTTTGCCCTGTGCGTACACTTCCACATTCGGCACTTTCACTGCCGTATTCTCCAGTGCGCGACGGATAGAATACGGCGTGTACTCGATTCCCCGAGCTTTCATTGCACTGACAAGCAGCGCGATGTTACCAGCGCAGTTCGGGGAGCTCATGGACGTGCCGTTCATGAGCTGCTTCTTGTTCAACGTCCAGTTAGGCACCGGCGCAATGGCAGCTCCAGGCGCGCAGATGTTCACGCCCAAATCGCCATCAAACGTCGGGCCACGTGACGACCACGTGTAGGCGATACCCGACAGGTCATTGTCTCGCATAATGTACTCGCCCTCCATCATCTTGGGCGACACGTAGGCCCCCACAGCCAGCATACTGGAAGTGGTACCTCCTGGAGCGCCCACGGTGCCTAACGCAGGGCCATTATTACCGGCACTGACGACGAACGTGACGTTGTGTTCGTCCACCAACTCGTTACTGAGCTCCACGATTCGCCCGTAATTATGCTGCGACGCGTACTCTCCGTAACTCATGTTGACGACGTCCACATTGGCGTCCATGACGGCCAAGATCGCGCGACTCAGCGCCGAGGACGTCTCCATACTCCCCAGTCTGCCATCTCCGATCTTCACGGCCACAATCTGAGCTCCAGGGGCCACACCGTTGCATTCTGGCTGCTCGGGGTGGTGCGCGGCCACGATTCCGGCCACGTGCGTTCCGTGAGCTCCAACGTCGTTCACGACGCTCAACGTGTTGCCTTCGTCGTAGATATTCAGCACATAGTTGAGCTGCGATTCGTCCGAGAAGGTCGCGTACTCCTGCTCGTCCTTAAAGCTGGTCAGCGCCGGTATACCGGTAAAGTCGCCGATTTCCTTGGTATCGAGAGCTGCACGCCAGCACGTGCCGTCATTAAACACAACGGCGTCATAGATCGGTCCAGGGTCTTCGTAGCTCTTAGCCAGCTCTTCTAGCTGCTTAAGTCGCGCCTGGAGATCCTTCTTCTCCCTCAGCTTGGCGGTGTCATTCGTGGTTGCACTGTTCTCTTTGCTCCACTTGGCCACTTCTTCTTGCACCTCATTGACTGCTGCACGCTGCTCAATGTCGAGCTTCTCCTTGCGTTCTGTCTTGAGTCTGGTCACTAATGGACCGGGGAATAAATGGTAGCCGGCTACAGTTCCGACGTGGTATTTGCCGTCCTGACTCGGTTTCCACTCGGGGTTCAGCTTTAAAACGCGCCCATTGGATAGCGTCAATTGGCCATCCTTGGACTCGATGACCGTGGACGTATCCACGTCTCCGGCGCCTGTGGCGTCCACCACGTCGATGATCTTGGGACGGCCGTCGGGTGTCGTCTGTAGGCCGATGGCCCCCGGGTCCACACCCGTGTCGAAGATGGCCACGACAGCGTTGCGCCCGTCATAGTCCGGATACTGCTCCAGGAACAGGTCGGCGAGGGTTTCCTCCTTGGGTAGCAGAGACGCCGTCGGGAACGACTTCATCTTCGGATCCAAAGTCAGATTTCGGAAAATGACGTATCTGCATCACCGATTCACACTAAGTACGAAGATGACATCAGAATCAGAATGTAGGTCACGGCACCGAGCTTTCTATTAGATTTTATAATCTAAGTTAGAAAGTTTCTAACGTAGACCTTTCGAATGCCCTGGAGTTTCTGTTAGTTGTTACTGTACTCGTCACAAGTCCTTGGACCAGAATGTAGCCATCTGTTATGAGGATTCAACAACCCAAATCCTATAGCAACAGTATAAGGGGTAAAATCGGGCGTAGACTTCAAAAATGTGGTCAGAATTAGCTGATTCGCAGTCGGTTTTGCGCTACAAGACTATTTTAAAACACTTTCCAGATGCCCCAGGCTAACGGGAAACGGGTTGCCTTTGAAACGGTCATTTGATAACTCCCAAAACCACATGGATTTGCGCAAGAAAGTACAAGAAAGTACACAACTGAACAGCAGCAAATCCGATTACGATTGTAACGATTTGAGTGCAAGGAAAAAACAAATATTTATTTAAACAGGCCCCTTATCCTAGGTCGTAATCACGCCTCCTTCCGCGTTGAGTTCATATATACAATAATAGAGGTTTACGTTAAATAGCTGGATAAGAAACATGCACCGCTAAATTGCTGATGTGCACCTCAAACTTGGTCTCATTGTCGGCGCTGTAGGTGCTCGTCACAGTCGTAACAGTGCCGTGTGCTATCTGTAGACACTCAGCAACCAGGTCCCGGGTTCGCTGCCCTCTAAAGAGGCCATCTTCCTTGGCTTTGGACATGAAGTTAAAGCACCGTACTACGTAATCCTTCTGGCCTGGCGTCAGATCTTGCTGCGAAGTGCTTGGCTCGGACATGACCCAAATAGCTCACTTGATGCACGAGATGCTAAGGAACATTTACGTGCTCTCCTTGTTCTATTTTGGTGCCAACTCGTAGAGCTTCGCCAATTCAAATGGCATGTTAATATAATCTGGTCCAACGTTCAATGACGAGTACAATAGTCATTGGGTCGACCACGCGCAATGCAAAGGAGGGCGGGGCATTTGTTAACACGGGGCTGGGCGACGTGGGTGCCATAGCCGCGGCGCCAACTAAGGTGAGCGGGTGCGAGGCGGGCCCAGCGCTGAGCTCACCAGCGAGCCGAGCACTACACTTTCCAGAACATTCTATCTCCGTATTGCGAGCGCAGCCAACCGTGGGGGTGCCGAAGGGGCGCCCTGTCAAGCGAAGCGCGGCTGGTCCCTTTTCTGCTGTGACTTCTAATCGTCGAATATGTATTATTGCGACACTCAGAAGGTCAAAACTATACAGAAGTCAAGTCAAATGATATGCTGTGTGCTGAAACAGTAAATGCATGTGTTTGGCATGTTCTGTCTTGTTCTAGTAAGTCTTCCAATCTTCTCCGTTACTCTCCTGAGCCACACAATGGTCTGTATCCACCACAGGCTCAGCGTTGAGGTCTAATCTGCTGCTAGACGTACGACATGACAATGACAGCTCCCCGACTGTCTCTTTTCAGCACTCCCCTCGTGATCTTCCCCCTCCGCGTTACTCTAGTCCTACGAGCACTCGCAGCTCGTCCAGTCTCGGTTTCGTGGGTAGATCTGCGGCTATCCTCTTTCCCTCAGAATAGATAGCCTTGATCGCGCCACTCTTCGTGCACATGATGAGCTTAAAACTTACATAGTGTGTGCAAGATACGTGTAGATAAAGTTTGGTACACAGATACATACAGTAGATACACACTTTTCAACTGTAGGCATACAACATGCAACAACCTCTGACATATTATCAAAGATCATCATCTTCGCTATCGGCATCCTGAACATCTAACTGATCTGGAATGGAATCCAGGTCGCTAGTATCGTCGAACAAGTCGATATCATCCAGTTCTTCACCAAAGTAGTCGTACGTGTCCACTGAGTCGAGTAGGCTGCTGTTGATGTAGTTGAACGCCAGCTTTTCCATTGTGACAGCATTCATTCGGGTCCGTCGCTTCGACCACAGAAAGGAGTACACACTCCACACTCGTTCTGCAGCAGCCGAGGACGTTGGTACACTCAAAACTTTGATGGCAATTGGCGCCAGCAATGGAAACATCATGCGTCCGCAATGGACCCAGTACTCCAGTCCTGGCAACCTCGTGTATTTTTCGTAAAGGTCGCTCGGGGAGTTGAGGTCGTTGACAAACTTGACCAGGACGTTCAAGTCGGCAAGGACAGCGGCGAACTCAGGGATTTTACACACGTCTTTAATCAATAGATTTAAGACATGAGCACCGCATCCATTGGCAAAGATCGTTGGGTATTTCTTCTCAATAATTGCCCACGCTCCGCGCATGTTGGGGGCGTTGTCAGTGACCACCGAGAGACAGCGATCTGGACCAAATTCCTCTATCACTTCCAAAATACCGGCAGCTATGTTCTTCGAGGTTTGCACAACTCCACCTGTGCTTACTGATTTCAGGAAAAATGGCTTGAAGCCTGGAACAATGACGACGTAATTAACGATATGCTCGTTTGAGTCGTTTGACCACCCATCGCTGACAATTGAGAACCACTTTGCTGACCGAATGGCTTCTCTTACACGCGACAACAGTTTGTTGTAGGTCGAATTGAGATGTTTTCCAGCAATCGAACGCGCCGATGGCATGATTTCAACGTAGGATGGCCGTAGAAGTCGAATGACTTTCTTCATGGCTTCTGAATCTATGACTCGAAATGAAATCCCAGTACGGAATACCAGATCTGCAATTGCAGCGTCGATATGAGCGGCATCAGCTTTTGAGATGGCGTCCAGAAAATTAGCCGTCGTCTGGAGGAAGAGGCGTTTCTTATGCGGACTCGCAGGACGAACGTGAGCTTCAGCACGCTTGGTGCCAACCGACACAACAACTCTGCCGGCACGAAGATGTTTCAGGTCCATGAACAGGCCTTTTTCGTTTTCACTTATCCCTTCACAGTTGTTTGAGACCTTGTGTGAAATGACGCGCTCTCGCACCCACGGAACATCGCGTCGACAAACGCGACACTTGCCTTTCTTGACGCCTGATTTTGACAAGTATGAGTTGATGTCGAACTGCAGAGGGTCGGGTGTTCTTCTGGCGGATAACATCGTGTCGATCGCGTTAATGAAACTGGACGGCGGAGATACCATTGATGAACACGTTGTCGTAAGATGGCGCTGGAAGAAGGGTAGACTTGTACTGTAGGGTGTTGGGCAGAGCAGATCGAAGAATGGCGCTTCGGAGAGTAAACACCATGGTATAGACATCTTGGTGAAGCTCGCTATAAGTGAACAAAGTCGTCTTTAAATGTGCTATCCCGCAATACTCAAGCGCGCTTCAGATAACCTACTTATAGATGAAGCATGTCGACACCTTCAACATCTTATCCATAGCTGAAATCCTTCCTGGTTGAAGGAGCTTTGTGTGCAAGATACACGTTTCCGAATTTTAGTACACACATACTTTACGTATTCCTACGCGTACTCTAATCTACATGTATCTGTAGATGCGCACACTAACTTACATCAATGTGCTTGGCGCTCGATGACGCCTTCTCGCTCAGCAATTGCGCCAAAGCAGTTGGGTTGTCCACACGCAACTCCATGGGCCGCGTAAACTCGGCTCCCAGTTTCTTCAGGAGTCATTGCACTCCAAGTAGTTCGTGCCCCAGCAATGACGCGGCGGCAACTCCATGGTCGTGAGTGACACCTCCCCCCATCTCCCCGCGTGTCCAGCTCAGTGGCATTCCATTAATTGCTCCCAAAGTACCGGTCACAGACCTCCTTGTCTGTGACAAAGTCCGCATCGCTGTACGCCACCACCTTCAATGACCGGCCCTGTCCTCTTCCCCCCTGTATTCACAAACGAAGGTCCCTTGTTCCGGCCAAGTACCCACTGGTCAGGTGATGCAGTGGTATTAATAAAACACTGACCTTCTGAGCGGGAGGTTTGGGGTTCAAACCCCGGCGTGTCGAAAAAATCCGATTCACTTAAAAATGAATTCGTGGGCCACGAATTCATGGCTGCAAAATCGACTGGGACATCCGGTAGCTGATGTGGAGCAAGCGTGCACAAGGTACGCCACGGAGACTTAAATCATGTAAGCAATCGATAGCAGCTCTTAGGTAGAAAAGAACTGTGATAAAGAATATACCTTAGTAAGAAGGAAATTACCAAGTCCAGCACACTCCGCTTTGCGAGTTTCCAGTTTACTTGTGCGTCGTGACACTTTGTACACGGCGAGCGTTATATCCGGTCTCGTGCACCTTGCTGTCTATAGCAAGTTGTCAACCACCGGCTGGTACTTCGCCACAGTCACCGTGTCGTCACCACCACTCATCGGCAGCAAATTCGTGTATCGGTTGATGTGACACGATGTGGTTTTGAGCTTGTTATAAATCGCTAGATGGGAGCCCGAGTCCGAGAAGTCGAGAAGATAACACAAGGGCGACCGGTGAATTTGTGGATGATGACGCTGACGTTGGCTCCCGGATAGGCTTCGACGCCCCGGATGAGATATCCTGAACGGAGTACAGTACCCAACCGGGTGATCAAGTACCTGACGACAGGTCAATGCCCGAAGAGAGGTAATCAAGAGTGCAAGATGAAAATACGTAGTCAAGCGCCACCTGTATTGACGTGGAGAGCAACCTAAAGGTACAACCCAAGCACTTCAGTGACCGCAAACGACTCAAAGCATGTTGAAGAATTCGAGCTTGTCCACCATGGTCGAGTCAGAGTCCCGAACGGAGCATTACAGACGGGGACCCCTACACGGAGAAAATCAAGTAAACAAAGATCAAGATTAAATCGACCGACCAAATCGACTGATCAAGGACTTGTGAAGAATCTTCACTGAAGATACCAAGAACATTGAAGAAACGCTAAGGTATCCAGTACGGGTCAAGTGGAGGTGGGATCGCCGACGACTCAAGTGAAGAAGAAGTTGGCGACTCTGGGGATACTACGTTCATTTTGATTGGTGAAGAGCTTAGATAGCAGGTGAGCAGGCTCATACGCGAAAACAATACGTGCGAGCAGAAGTACTTGAAGAGCAAGGCACAGGATCTTGAGCATCTACTGTGTTCTCTTTCTCAAATGACAAGCGGAGAGAAGAAACAGAGTATCATTACGACGTTAGCGGTCCTCATGCAGACTGACACAGCTCTTCGCCATCGAGATCAAGGCTTACGACAGCGGTTTCACTACTAATATCTTCCCATAGTGGGCCGTGTGTGCCGATGGGCTTGGTGTGCATGCTACGGCGTGTCAACAGCGAGTGTCAGGCGCTACAGAACTCGCATTAAGGAGTGTACCTTCTCCATTAAAGCTCACGACAAGCGACTTAGCCAGCACGCGAGTGCAGTTAATCTCCGCTGATTAGAACCTGGCTTAAAGAATTCGCTAGTTCTGTCGGTGACGTGAAGCAAATCAAAATGATGCTAGTCTCAAACCCATAAAATTTGAATATTTTTTTTTAAATATATACGTGGAACTATGGAGAGAATTTTTGTCGAAGCTTTTTAAGTGGGTTTCGTTTCAAATTTGAGCTTTAGGGTGGTCCCAATCAATTGTATGACAATATTACACTAGATTGACCGATTTGTTTTTCAATTTGTATCGGCGAATACAACTTTTCAAACCAATACAGTGCGAAAACGGCTGAATTAAAAATATCCCAGCAAGGTCTCATTCTGTAGAGGAGATATTCAGCTTTACAATAGTGTACCTAAATTTTTTTTTAAATGGTAAACTAGCATTCGTTTGTTTTGCGCGGTCTAATATGAGAATGACGACCAAGAGTGCTGACATAGACGAGATCATAGTGAAACTAAGTAAAAGAAGAAA